TGATTGGTATAGATTACTGTCTGTAGCACATCGCCATGATTCTTTTCTTTAGTATGCCTGTTCTAAAATGGGAATATTTCACAACAAAAGGTGAACCGTTGTAGCAAAACTATTGTTACAGATTATAACACTACTTAGATTTAAAATCTTCTTTATTCTAAGTTTTTGAATTATTAGAATTATGTTTCTTAAAGTGGTTGTAAACATATATCTATATCTATCTCCAGTGAAGTAACTGGCCTCAGGTGATACAGAGGAAACAAATCCTCCTGCATAAGTTGTACCTGTTTATCTGCAGTATTTTCTTCACGTTTGTTAAAAATGCAGAATTTATACAGCTTGTCTGAGCTTTCAGAAATCAGAGCAAAGAGCTGAAGTTACTCTGCAGAGGTCAGTGAGAAGAGCTGATTGAAGACACAGATCCCTTCATACAGCCCAAAGGAACGGAGCTGAGGCTCTCAATCACAGGCTGTGTGCTGGAGCTTCCTTTCCTCACTATTTTTATTTGTTGGTGTTAAACTTGTCAGAAGTGACTCATGCTGATAACATGGGAACAAAGCAACAGACGGAAATTACATTTATATGCTGAGTCTGGAGCGGCACCAGGCTCAGCCTCTCAGCGATCTGCTGAGAGCTTGAGCCGACTGCTCCCTCTCCCTCCAGTCCAGCACTCCAGTGAGTGTGGAGGTGGGGCAGAGTAGGCAGCGGTGACTGACAGGTCACTCTGCTCAGAGCAGCAGTGAGAACTCGGCAGTCATGTGATCGTTGAGTTCTCACTTTTCATGTTGGCGGGGGACAGATGCAGCATCGGGACCGAATAAATCCACCTAGGGAAGTATGATTTTTAATTTTTTTTTTTTTTTTTTTTTTTTTTTTTTTTTTTAAATGGTATGATAATGGGGCTTTGTTTGATTTCTTTTCCAGTTCAAACAAGACTTGGCGAGATGTTGTAAATAATTCACTTAGTAAAGCGAGGGAGAAGAAACCTGGATACTGTGAATGTTGCCTACAGAGATATGGTGATCTTGAAGAGGTAAGTACTGTACAGCTGTGTGAGGTCTCCTGGAAACACTGATTTTCATCCACAAGTTAACCCCTTGATGCCGACGTCACACAAATATGCGGCCTCACTGAACTGGGCTTTTTTCCGTGGGGCTGCATATTTGCGTACTTGTCTTTGTGCTGAAAGTTGCAAGTGAAAAATAACTTCAGATTTTGAGTAAATAGTTTACAGTTTTGTGCACTTTTCTAAATTTCATAAAAAGGCACATTTTAGCATTCACATACTGTATTTATTCATTCACTCAATACAGTTTTAGCTTTTATATTAGAAGAAATCTGGCAGGAATTTTGCAGGTTTTGCTGTGTATGTATACATTAATGATTTCACTGTGTTTTTAGGGAATTGATAAAAATTTGTGCAACTGTTGCGGGACCTAAAAATCGGTAGCACATTTCTTTATTCTACAGATCATGTGCTTTCAGAAAATGTATGGTTTGGGGGGTCTTTAACCAACATTGAAAGCTGAGAGGGGGAAAAAAAAATAATGGAAAACTGCAAAAATGGTCTGGCCACCTGCGTTTCTTTCGCTGCCAGGTCCTTATGGCATACAGACCTACACCACTGCTTGTAGCTGGCCTGTTCCAGACCTGCATTCCTCCTCTGCCATAAGCTCATTGTCACGTCAGTGACCATGAAATTAAAGCAGAATTGTTCAGATGCTGCTGAACTGATAGCTCTGATCAGTGGTTGATAAGCCACTTATTAGGGCTATTTACCTAAAATGTGACTCCCTCTCCCCTACCACTTCTCTGGCCTGCATCTCCTGATCCTCCACCCGCCAATGCTAACAGATTAAATGTGTGTTTCCCTCCTCTGCCTGCCAGGCAGCCACAGAGGAGAATCCATTTGCTAGATGATGACCAACCTCCCTGATGTCCAGGTGCCCCCTCCCAGCCAGCTCTTCCTCCCCTTCCCACCGGCTGCAGCCACTGACAGATCTTTTAGAATGGGGGGGGGGGGGGGGGCTTTTTAGCAGCCCCCTTTCTTTTCTGAAAGAATAAACCGCAATCAGTACAAATGGCTTCTGTATTAAACAATCACTGACACATGGTGAACTGTTTACTATGTGTCGGTGTTGACCATGTTCCATTCATAAACTGAGTATGTTTCATCTTATGAACAAATAGGAGATGATGCCTATTAATCTACAGCGCAGCTCAGGCTGCAGAGGAAGAAGATTGTCTTCAGTCCCTTTCTGTTTCAAAAAAGACATTAAAGCTTTAGACCCCTGATGTCTCTCCAAAGCCCCCCCCCCCCCCCCCCAAAAAAGTAAAAAAAAGTGTAACATTAAGTTGTAAAAAAAATAAACCTAGTAAGGGTAGATTAGAAATGTGTTAACTTTCTCTTGCCTTTTGGAAGCCCGATCAACGTTCAGTTCACACTCCAGTGGCTGACAGGCGGGGAGGAAGCAACGTCTCCTCAGCACCTGTTAACCCATTTTACCAACAAATGCGCACATGCATTGTACGAAGTTGTGGGGTGTTTTCACTGCTTCCCTGTTGACATGAACGTGTATTTGGTGGAAGGCATCACTACACGTTGGGTCAACTTTGCCGTGCAGCATCACAGAACTGGAACACCCTGTCCATTGCCTATTGTTTTTAAGGGGGGGCGTTTGGCAGGCAGCAAAAATGCCTGCCAAACCATGCTCTTTTTTTTTTTTTTTTTTTTTTTTTAATGCCGCTCCCCCCAACCACAAGTCTAAACAAGGCCTTGTTCACGCAAGGCAAGACTTCATCAAGACAGCCACTGCTTCCAACTTGACATCCATGTGGGTGTATGTTCCCGATCTAACTGTCTGTGTTTGGGGCCATGAACCTACCCCCGCACATATGTCAGATCTACCCTTGCAGCTGCTGCCGCGTCCCAGTTTACGTGAATAGGACTGCCTGTACAGGGATGCGCAGAAAAATGGGAATCCCTGTGTGGGTAAACATGGGCCTTCATGGACGTTCGTTTTAGTACACCCCATTGAACAATTCCTTAGAATTTAGCAGAAATTGTGCAAGATATGCAGTGGTTTTGTGTGCAAATAAGGATTTTAGTGTGGCTTTTTTTAATTTGTTAAATAGCGATTTGATAAACATTTCTTTAATCAGTAGCACCTTCTATTTTACAGGTCATGTACTTTTATGTTTAGTGGTAATTTAGCAGGAATTTTGTGAAATTTGCTGTTTGTATCTATTTTAGGTTATTTCTAGTGAAAATAACGTTCTAATAAACATTTTGCTCAAATATCGGGGGGACTTAAAAATCTGCGCCTTTTTTTTTTTTTTTTTTTTTTTCCTTCTACTGGTCTTGTGCTTTCAGAAAATATATGGTTTAGGGGGTCTTTCACAAAATCTGAAAGCTGTAAGGGGAAAATAAAAAAAAAACAATTGAAAAATTGCAAAGAATGGTCCAGCCATCTGAGTTTAAAAATACTTTTTTAAAAAGAAAACAAAAAAGAGCGCAGGGCCTGGCAGCAAACATATTAAACATGCCTCCTATTTGCTAAAAGTCCACCTACTATCTGTTCTCTTTGTGTTTTCAAAGCTTTGGCAACAAAATAAAAAATCAAACAATTTTTTTTCAATATCAAAAGCATAAAAAAAGCTGTCAAACATTGCAGCCATTGTGCTTTATATATCTATACATATCTCAAATATACAAAAGGCTAGGCTAACGTTCTACAATAACTGGAGCATCTATATTGCTTTGCATAGATTGTAATAGATGCGGTCAGACAAAGGGACCTCAAAGCCCAGGTGAGCATAAAACCATTCTGACAAATTAACATAGATGACGGTGAACAGTTTCCAAGTGCCCACCTGTTATCTGTAAAACGGCCCCCAATTACTGGCTGAAGCAGCTTTTAATTTACTCTCCTTGGCCCTAGTAATGTGTCTAACGCCTGGTTCTAGTGGCAATTGGTAGCTGACTCAAGTGTGGTTATCCTTTCCTTACTCACAAAATGAAGTCCACTCTCTCCAACCAAGAGAAATGAGCCCTCGCTCAATTGGGAAATGCATTCTAGCTTACTAGGGGACATGTAGCTCCCACCTAGTTTCTCATAAAATGATTTTCAAGTACCTGGTTCCTCCAGTTCGCTTGTGACTTGTTAGAGGCCTCCATCCACTATCAAGTCTTGGCATTAAAATGTGTCCGTAGCCTAATTCTGTCCCACATAGCGTCCACTGCTGGGATTTATGTTTAGATATGTCTTGCCCTGCATCGTGTTTTTTTTCATAAAACCTAGTTCTGTACATTGTTTACATTTTTGTAATAACTGAGTTGTTTCACTTTTCTCCAAAATGGTGGTCTCCTTTTGTGATGAAATTGGCTATTTTTTTTTTTTTTTTTTTTTTGTTACACATTTGTCACCCCAAAAAAAAAAAGCAACTGATTTGGTCATGTAATGCATCTGTATGGTTTAATGGACAGGTCACCAACCCCTTAGGTACAGAATCCATAACTAGTTTAGTCTTTAAGGGGTGGTTGACAGCTGGGAGGTGATGTGGCCTGCAGGATGTCTTTTAAACCCCTGAAAGCCTGCAGCAATGCGGCACTGCCCATTAACTTGAATGGGTCTTGTTTGGTGAAACTGATCGCTGAATTTGACAGTTTCAGTTTTTTGCATGGCCGCCACCCCCCATCTGGCTGGCATGTAAAGTTAAAGTGAGCAATGTGGGGGGGGGGGTGGTAAAGCTGTGGCTCATGTGCCTATTTTTACCACTCCTCAGCTGCAAGTGTTAAACTAAACTAGCCCTTATCAAAATTATTTTTAAAGTAGATATGGCTGAATTTTGCTTTCATACTTTCTATGCATGATTTTTTTTTTTCTGTATTGTAGCATCTTGTAAGTGAGAAACACAAAAGCTTTTATGAGAGTCCTTCTTATCAAGATGTGGATAATATCATCTCCATGTTTGATTTTGACTTTGTGGACTGGTCACTATACAGACAAACTAAAAGGTAATGTTCCCAAAGATTTAGAGCACTGTCTTGCTGATTTCAGTAGAGCTAGATTTACCACTTAAGAGCCACCCCCTAGCAGATATACTGCTACAGGGTGGCTCCACTGCGCAGAAAATCGCATAAATGTGGTTTTGCATTTCTGGGTAGGGGGTGCGTGCTGCCCTAGCCATTCCACTTCTGGTGGCTGGATATGTCAATCACCGGGTCTCAGCCATCAATTCCTGGTCAGGAGTCGGTGATCGTCGGCAGGGCTAAGAGGGATCTGTGTGTAAACACCACAGATCTGTCAGCTTGGACATGCTGCTTTGTATCTCTGTACACAGCAGAGATATAAAAAAGTGGCATGTGTAACTCAACACAGCACACATTGTAAAACACACAGAGCGCACTGTTAACCCTTTGATCACCCCAGATGTTAACCCCTTCCTGCCCAGTTTCATTAGTACACTGTCAACGTTTATCAGCACTGATCACTCTGGTGTCTCTGGAGATGTCAGTGACAGTCAGTTTCTACCCAATGTCAAAATGCCTGTCACAGTTGTTGATAGTCCCCATTACTGGTATAAAAATGTTTTAAAAAGTGTGTGTGTAAAACTATTGCACAAAAGAGAAACGCAGAGGTGATCAAATACCACCAAAAGAACTCGATTTGTGGGGGGAAAAAAAGTTATAAATTTCATTTGGGTGCAGCATTGCATGACCGTGCAATTATCAGTCACACCAAACCCAACTTTGAAATCATGCGACTTCACTGTAAGTCGCGCGATTTCAAAGTCAGACGGCATGCCGATTTTCAGGTGCAATTTGCAAGACATCTGAAACAGATGTTTATGCAATTTGTACCAAAAATAGTGCATGTACTAGAAATCGGTGCGGCTCCGACCAAGTTGGAACAGCACCGATATGACTGATCTTATTGCAGACAATAGGGTGGGACTTGACATACAATTTGCATTGCATGCCAGTTCGCATCCACTGTGTCCAGGGACTTGAAGTAACGCGGTGCCCATATCACAAAATGGCCTGGTCAGGAGGGTAAATCTTCTGGAGGGCAAGTGGTTAAAGTGTGTGTGTGTGTGTGTGTGTGTTCTCCCTTTGATTTAAAAGGGTTAACACTTTTTTTTCCCCTACTTGCTCCTCCATTGCTGCTGTCTTGATGAGAGAGCCAGTGAAAAAAATCTTCCGTATCTGACACTTCTGGGAGTCTCCAATACATAGTTCCTCCCGTCAACCCCTCCATTACAGGACACTGCAGTGTAGAATACAGTGCAGATCAGCGGTGCATGCAGTGGGATAGTGGAAATATAAATCAAGTATTTGCTTCGCATGGAGGATTTTTAAAATAAAATTTTTTAAAGGGATATATGGGGCATCAGAACATGGTCCAATATGGTGAATCCGTCTTGTTTGCCAGACCTCCAAGTGAAGTGGAACTGAATAAAAAGTGGGAGAAAGATAGGGTTCCTCAAGAGCAACTCCCTCACCATATCCTAGCTCATCTGGACCAAGGGGTTCCCAGATGGTAAACCCTCTAGCTTGCCAAGAAAGGTCAATAGGTGATTAGTTGCACTGAATGATTCCGCAGTTCTCATAGATATTGTTACTGTTAGACTAACCTTTTTCATTTATTTCCTCTCTCCATGACCAATTCATTTTTTAGCTCTGTATTGTTGATGCCGACTGTGACTGTTGACGGGAAAGAAAAGGAAATTGCAGAAAAGAATAATCAGCAGGTTTACCAAAAAGTCCCTTCATCTGTAAGGCAGCAACCTGAAATCACACAGAGAACTGAGCTTAAGGGTCCAGTTGCTGCTACGTATGACTGTCCTGTCAATAATAACATCCAGAGCCCTGAACCTAAAGATTCTGTGTTTTGCCCTGTTCAGACTGTGGATAACAATACTTGTGCATCGGATTCCTTTTACGTCCCTCCTGGAACACCTAACTTTCTACCATATTCTGAGAAGTCCCCAACTCATGCAGGTGACACCGTAACTGTTGATGAGAACACCCATAATCCAGTTCATACCTCACAAGGATTAACCCTTGGAATGTCTGTGGCTTCCACATCTATCCAAAAATGTGCACCTGAGCCTGTAAATGGATGTCCCAGTAAAAAGATTAAACTGGCTGGTTCCGTGGTTTCAGAAACTTTGTATTCTGAATCTCTGAATGCTAATCATGTGACTAAACCAGTTATGAATTCTGTAGCTAAGGAGTTGGAGACAACCTGTCTATCAAATCGTTCAGATGCATTACTTGACCAAAGTCCTCACAGCTCCCCCAGCAAACTGCACAGAAAGGTGAAAGGATTGGTGCGCAAGGCAAGGAAACAGGAGGACCTCCCTGCCACGCCTGTACGTAAGGTGTCCGTTCCTGTGGAAGAATATGAATTGAGTTCACCCAGAGACAGACTTCTATCATTATTTGAGACCAGCGAAGCGCAGTCAGAGTTCTGTGGGTTCTCTTGCAAGTCTGATAGTTTACCTCGTGGTATGGATGTCAAAAAGGAACATCCAGCTTCCAAAGACAACTTTAATTGGTGCTTGTTTTCAACCACTAGTTCTTCTGCTGAGACGTTTTATGGGTTTTAGGAGGATTTTATTTTAATTTTTTTTTATACATGCATACACGTGTTTTTTTGTTAATGCCCAAAAAATGAGTTTGTACATCTAGAGTATTTTGGAGCCTTTTGTTAGGACAAATTCTTTTTATACTAGTACAAGGAACAGTACACACAGGCGATTATGCTTTTGTGTGGGGGAAGACCAGTTTTTTTTTTGTTTTTGTTTTTTTTTTTTTAGTAGTTTTTTTTTAAATCCTTTTGGTCTTTAAAGGCAATTTGTTACACTCCCTTCCAAGGTCACCATAACAAGTAAATCCTTCATTTTACTATAAACTATTTCAAAACTTTAGCCCTGCACAGGGCATGTGTTCAGCCAACATCCCTCTCTTCTGGAGCCAGCTCTCTTGCAGCTCGTATCCGTATATCCAAAGAATAGCCACACACTGTAATGTGATCTTTTAATGAACATTATTGCTCCCAGCTGGGGTTGTTACATCCTACCTGAGCACCTCTTGAGTTGCACAACAAAGAGGTTACTCATAGTAAATTTTATGAAGAGATTTGACTCTACAAATGAACTCTTCATAGTGAACAATAGGTTGACCTCTGTAAGATGTGCTGTGAGCAATAAAGTTTACCTGCAAGGTTACGTATGTGTCCTACCAGAGTAGACTCCGGATCGCAGGTTCTCAAATCTGTCTTAATCTCCAGTAAGGCTTGGCATAGACTGAATCTCGACCAGTTCAGCAGGAACTTCCAAGATTCGAACCATGTATGGGCAGGCTGAATGTATCAAAGTTGATTTATCAACCTAGGTACAAGCAGCCTGCCAGATTTTTACATGCGATAATTGCTAGTGGCTGTTATATCCGCTAGCAGTATTCACTGTGTTCTCCCTGCGGGGATGGACTCCCCCCGCTGAGAGAACACCATGACTCTGCAGGAGGGATTCCCCTGTCAACACTGTCCTGTGGTTGCAGGAAAGAAATTTTGCTCTGTCTATGGCCTGCATAAGATTTTCCATACATTATTCATTTTTCCTTTAGGTTTGACCTCATATTACATGGTTTTGGTAAATCTAACCAGGCCCTTTCATTACATAGTTGAAGGTAAATTTACAGGAACTAAGAAAATTGTTTATTGTATGGCCAGATTAGGGAGATCATGAATCCACAGCATATAGTGCTGGTGAGTCCTGAGGAAGAGTTTTGAAAACATTTTGTAGAAGTTGAACGATAAAGCAACTTGCTATATTCTGCAGGAACAGAAGCTGTCTGGCCTTTTGCAGACCTTTCTATAAGGTACAGGTGAGCTATAAATTCCCTATGTTGGAGGTTTGAACTTCTCCCGTTCCAGCCAAAACCTTGTAATAGCCCTAGTTGGGAAGAGAGATTTTTGAAGTTGAAAACAGGACATAGCCAAGTCTGATAGAATAGGTGATCTGAACTGGAATCGGATACAGAAGAAACATCTTAATGACATAGCTGTGGGCCTTTTTTTATATCTTGCCACATTTAGTCCATCTAGTAGCTGTTTCTCAGGTTCACAGATGTATGCCTCTGAAACGGTTTTCAAAACCTCTTGTCTGTTGGCCTTTTATAGTGAACCTTCCCTGAAACAAATGTGTAGGCTGCCATTGCATAACTGTTTACATGGATGTCTCTACTACCCATATTTTGTGATTCACTGACCTTGAGCAGACAAGTCAGAAGTCCCACTCTGCATATTTGTGCCAGTTCTTTTGGGCCTTTTGTACATGTGCATCTGAGCCCTTGCAACTAAAATTCGGTGTATTTCCTCTGCCTGGAAAGTGCAGGTGCTGCATACAGCCACCTATAAACCTGAATGAATGTACTTTACGTGAGGTCGGTGCTCATGTAAACATGGACAAACACAAAAATAGAAAATGTTCCATTTTTTTCAAATGCCTGAATGCTATACTCTTGTTTACATGTGCACCAGTGGTTACCTCAGAACAGCTGTGTGCAGCCATTACGATCTATGAGCAGCTATACTACGTTAGCACCTGGGCTTTCCAGGAGAGGGAAATTTGCCACTATTTTGTTAGATGGACTCAGGCGCCCATGCTCCAAGAGTCCTTAAAAACTTTGGATCAATGTAACGGTCATAAATTTCCAGCAAGTGGAAATACAATGAATTTATTTGTCTTTTAAAAGGCATTCAGCAGTGACAGCCTACATAATTTTTATCTAACGTGTTTCCATTAAAGTCCAATTTTGAGCATTTGGGTAATGTGCATTAGGGATACACAGATACCGAGTATTTTCATGAGTACTCATACTCGTGAAAATACTACCATACCTTAACCACAACTTTGCGGTGCGATTTGCGTTCATGGACACAAATTGTACCACAATGATTAGCATGTGATTCCTGTTCAAATCGCATCCGGTTACCCCACTGCTCCCGTGTGAACCCAGGCATGTCATAGCTCGAGTTCACACAGGAGCGGTGCAGGAAACCTCCCTGCAGGGATCCAATGCTTTGTCAGTGGTATGAGAGGAGAGAAAGCAGCAGGAATTTGAAATCCCTGCCCCTTTCTTTCCTCTCCTTGCTGCAATGACAGTTCAGTCTAGATGACATCTGTTTGGTCAGCTGTTGACCAATCTATTCTTTGTGGTGCAATTTTTGCCCATTAACAGAATCGCAAAGTATTGGTACTCTGTATCAGCGAGTACTTGTCCGAAAGTATCGGTATCAGTGCATCCCTAATGTGCATACATATAGTGAATGTGTGTATAAAAGCTACATTTTAAATCTTTTAATTTTTTAATGGGGTTCCAGAGTCAGGCCAAGCACCCAGCTGCTGGGAGGATTGCTTCTCTGGAAGCTGTGGTACAATGTGATAACCTCCATCCCGACCCCTTCCCCAGTCCTCTGTTGAGTCCGTAAACTTGGCTGATTGCACGGTGCAGAGAGCTTGCTGCTTTCACATAGAGCTGTGGGCCTCTAGCTAAATGCCGCTGGAGTGAATTTTGGGCTGAAGCAGACAAGGTACCATAACGTGCCTGCTGTTACCTCTATTAGCCAGATTTAGCTCCTTTTTGGCTACTTGGGGTTTTAATTTCACTTTCTGGGTGCCTGATTTCTAGGTTGTTTCATCCCCTTTCTGAACCCTTCCCAGTCATTGGCCCTGAAGGATTTCCCCAACCAGAAGAAGAAAAAAAAAAAATCAGAGGTAAACCGAATAGGATGAGTAAGTGCAAGTGAGTATTAGCAAGCACCTTGTGGGGAGATTAATTTTAAAGTGATGAATAATAAAATCAACCAGACTTCAACTTCGACCCCTTCATATCAGACATTGTTATACACATGACGGGTCTAGTAAGGTAGCCTAACATCTCATTTACTAATAATCATTTAAAACTTATAAATAATCCTTGGCCAAGGAATAAGAGTGACAAACTAGTGCCACAATGCCTCTAAAGCAATTACAAACCGTAAATGATCCAGGCTAAATCAACAGCCCTGCGAAGTAATTTAATAGGCATATGTAGATCATTGGAGGATTGTAAGTGTAACCTTCAAGCCGGTAAAGAAGCCTATAGTGATCCTGTTATGGTGGACTCTTTATAACGTGATGCTGAGCAAGGGCTGAATACAAATGTAGCAGTGTTCCAGACTGGGCTATAATGTGCAGTAATATATACTCCAAGGAGACAATGAGATTTGGAACCACCAGAAGCAGATGTGGTATATCTCATATATGTAAGTGGCACAGTGGAGTACCAGTCCAGGTAGTTGATTGAAAGCCTCTAAAACAACCAGCAGGTGCCAGTGAAACCAGTCTGACTCTTCTGACACTGGGCCAACATTAGCCTCATGGATGGAGAGGTACATATTCTGATTCCTGCGGGTGCACTGGGACTTGTATATTTGCTGAGGGCTGTTGGAACTCTTTTTCTTAAGTATTTTATCATGTGTCCATTTAGGGCCAATTCACACCAGTGCGTTTTTAGCACAGCTGTAAAACACAGATCAACGGATGGAAGGACATCTGAAAAACAATTTTTGAAGTGTCCTAATCTCACCATAATATGCTGTGCTAAAATGTATGTCAACTGATGTCAAAATGAGTCAAGGCCATCAGTGCATGTTAAAAACGAGACTAAAATGGATGGAAATGTATATGCATTTTAGCGCAAGTCCATGTGAATTGGTCCTTACGCTTTGTTCCTTGCACAAGGGCACACAGACATACGGGGAGGGAGAGGTAAAGTAAGCCTCAATTGTCAAGCCTCTGAAAACCTCTTCGGCATGGCCAGAGGTAGAGGACAGTCCAGGTGACTTCAAGTCTTGGTGAGGACACTGGTGCACCATCCAATGTTGGCCGCTCTTTGAAGAAGGGAGATTTCAGGAAGAAGGGAGATTACTCTGGTGTCATGGTAAGTATGGCAGCACATTTCAGGGTTTCTACTTTCTCTTCAATTGCAATTGTGGGCTTTCTTTTACCGTTTTGAGTGACTGGGCCAAGGGTGACCTTATTTCTGCATGGCTTTTTTTTTTTTTTTCCCTGGACATCAGTTTTTGAGACTTTTTCTAACTACTTGTTCTGGTGACTACTGACACTATTGAAAGTGATGAAAACAATAATAGCGGCAGGGAAATATCCATTTATTTCTGTGACCATTAATAGGATTTTCTGTAGAGACATGTCACTTTCTGTGTCTGTAAGTCATGTATGGAAGGTAAATCTCCCCAATCAGTATATTAAGTAGGGGTGTACCGAAATTTCGGTGGCCAAAACGTTTTGGCTGAAAACATCCCTGTTGGTCGATATGGGGAAAAAAGCTCTGATACAGATGCCAAAAAACCCCACTGCCACTCACTGCCTGTAAGTGGAGGCCACTACTCGGTAGTTCTGAATGATCCCGGCGCTTGGGGCATAGAGATTAGTGAAGGAAAGATGGCCGCCACTCATCTCTATGTACTTGGAGGACCGAAACGATGTCACTTCTGGATCCGGCGCCTTGTAAACGAGGCTTTCTTTTGTAAAGCACTAATCAA